CCCCAACTTTGGAAAAGATTTTCCAGGGCTAAAAAGTAGTCTTATACGTGGTTGAATCAGTGGATGCAGAATCTGTGGATATGGAGATCATATATATATGAGATCATATATATATATTGCCCTTCCTTCCATTTTTTAAACCCACTCTTCCCCTCCCCTTCTTCTCTTTATTATGAGAGTCACACTGGCTTTTTCAGATGTTTCTTCTCCTTCCATGGTATTGTTTGTGATTGTGCTTTTTACAATTCCTTCTTTAATCATGTTCTCCCTTCCTAGATCCTCTCCCCCCCCTTAGCAATTTTAGCCATGGGATTCCAATTATTAAACTGATCAAAATCAGCTTTCCTTAAATTCATGGTCTGTATTAAATTTATGGTCTGTACTCTTCTTTGTCCTATGTCTCAATTGTGAATTCTAGCATTCCCCTAAAGTACTGATTACTTTGATTCCAGTGACCAACTCCTTATTAATTAGGACCAAATCAATGATTGCTGATCTCCTTTTTCCTTCCTCTACCCTTTGCAACAGAAAATTAATTGAAAGGCACAACCTATGCTTAACAGTTAGGGCGTGTACAGACTGACAGTAAGCACCAGCTTTGGGGAGGTGTGGGTGTGTGGCATTTGGACAACTCATGTCCCAACACCACCTCCAAGTCAGCATCACACCACCCTCCAGACTACATTTTTCTGCCCCAAAAAGGAGCAGCATTTTGCCATTTCTTTTTGGGGTGGAAAAACACCAGATCAGAGCTGCAGCATGTGGTTGCTGCAGCCCCAATCCAGCTCTCAAAGGGGATGGTGGCAAGTCACTCTATCAGGGTGGTCTGCTTCACCCCTTAGTCTCCCAGCAGATAATGGGAGAAGGAAAAAATGATGAAGTTAGTCACAGACCTGCATTTTGTCAAGATATAGTGGTTGTTGTCCTCAGTTCAGGTGGCATGGAGGGAAACTGAGGAATATCCATTGATACCATCTGAACTGAGGACAACAACCACACCGTCTTGACAAAAGGCAGGCCTACGACGAACACCTTTGTGATCCAAACTCCAATGATCAGCTTGACATCCTGTGTTGGTGTTTTGTCAATTTCTTCCTGTATTCCTTTATAAAATCTATCGATTTCTTCTTGTTCTGCCTCAGTAGTTGGTGCATATACTTGAATTATGGTGATATTCATAGGTTTTCCATGGAGCCTTATTGAGATGATTTGATCTGATTTTGCATTGCATCCTCTGACTGCTTTTGCAACATCTTTTCTTAGTATGAAAGCTACCTCATTTCTTCTTGTCTTTTCATTCTCTGAGTAGAACATTGTGTGGTTGTCTGATTCAAAGTGGCCCATTCCTGTCCATTTTAACTCACTCACCCCCAGTACTGCTATGTTCATGTATTGCATTTCCATTTTCACTATGTCTAGCTTCCCTTGGTTCATGCTTCTCACATTCCATGTCCTTATTTTATGTGTGGTGCTGCTTCTGATGGAGTTTGTCTTTTTGAGAGTGTTTTCTAATTGCTTCATCATTTTTGACTGCCCTTAGCTACTTTTGCAAGTGTGTTTTCCTTTAGTTTCT